GATTTTGTCATTTAAAATGTCACCAAAAATATATTTGACAATCTCTCCTTTTAATTTTATCCACACTATCTCTTTGATGTGTCTGTGTTTGAAATCTTTTTTCCAATCTATGATAGTAATTTTAGTTTTTAAGTTATAACCTTTTAAAGTCGAGATACTTCAATTGACACTTAACTGTGAACACACTCATTTCCAAGCGTCTGTTCCGCATGTTCTCCACAAAGCAGCTTCTGGAGAGCGTCAGACCCGGAGATTGGATGTCCTCCATAGATCCGACAGATGCCTACTTCCACGTAGCGATAGTGCTAGAGCAACAACGCTTTCTGCGCTTTGCCGTGGGGGGAAAGTGCTACCAGTACTGCCGTCTACTGTTCAGGTACGCACTGACTCCGCGCACCTTCTCCAAGTGCGTGGAGGCGGCCTTGGAGCCTCTCAGACGCGCAGGGGTCAGGATCTTAACCTACATAGACGATTGGTTGATTCTGGCCTCATCCAGGGAGGTGGACATGCGCTGGGTTCTGTCACACATACAGCGCCTGGGCTTTGTAGTGAACAGGGAGAAAAGCAGGCTGCAGCCTGCCCAGCGCATGGTGTATCTCGGTCTGCAGCTGGACTCGGTGGAGTTCCGAGCTGCATTATCCGAGGACAGGATAACGAACATCACCCGCTTAGCCAGGGAGGCGCTGACCGCCCCCAGAGTGCCTGCTTGGAACCTCAGGTCGCTTCTGGGGATGATGCCGGCGGCCCATGCTGTGGTTCGTCTGGGCCTCCTCCACATGAGAGGGTCTCAGAGGTGGCTCTCCCGCCTCAGGCTTCATCCCTCACAGGACGGGGAGGCTGCTCGCGGTTCCTCCTGCCGTAGCGTCAGACATCAGCTTCTGGCTCACCCCGGGTCGGTTGCAGGACTGGGTACCCCTGGTCGGTGCCGTGTCACACGTGGAAGTGTTCACGGACGCATCTCTCGAGGGATGGGGAGGGGTTCTGGGCCGGAGCTCCGTGGGCGGCTCCTGGTCAGACCCGACTCGCCACATAACCTGTTGGAGATGGAGGCAGTGCGCAGGATGCTGCTGCACTTTGCCCCACAGCTGGAGGGGAGACATGTGATGGTGCGCTTGGACAACACCACAGTGGTGGCGTATCTGAACAGACAGGGGGGCACGAGGTCCCCTGCCCTCCATCGTCTGGCAGCAGTCATTCTGCTCTGGGCTGCGGTGCATCTGCAGTCTCTGAGAGCACGTCATTTTCCGGGAGACCGAAACACAGGGGCGGACATGATGTCCAGAGGGGGCCCGCTCAGGGACGAGTGGAGCCTGGCCTCGCGGGTGGATGCAGAGATCTGGCTGAGATTCGGTCATCCAGTGGTCGACCTGTTCGCCAGTGCAGACAACGCTCAATGCCACCTCTGGTTCGCGCTACGGGCCGCAGAAAATCCGTCCCTGGGAGTGGATGCCTTGGCTCATTACCCGTGGCCAGGGGGCCTCTTGTACGCGTTTCCTCGACACGCCTCCTACCGGTCCTACTGAGGAGGATCGAGCAGGAGGGTCGGGAAGTGATTGTGGTCGCTGCGGACTGTCCGCATGCCCGGTGGTTTCCGTTACTGAGGGGCATGGCGGTGATGGAGCCGTGGACCCTCCCGGGCGAGCCTGGGGGGGAGGGTCCAGGGGGGGAGGGCGCCGCTCCAGCTGGAGATCGCCTCTCTGCTGAGACGAGGCGCCGCGGTCCAAGTGGACCCGCGAGACGCCTCCAGAGGGCTGTACTCCCCGTATTTCTTGGTTCCCAAGAAGACAGGGGGAGTGCGCCCCATCTTGGATCTACGCACGCTAAACCAGTGCATGTCCAAGCGTCTAGCCCCTTAGCTACGGGCCCATCAGGCCAGCCTGGCTTTGGCTGAGTTCAAAGTGGCAGGTGCAGGCCTGAGCGGGGCTATTTATAGGAGGAGCTGGCCTGTGATTGGAGCATTCGATCTAAGGATCTCTCTGGCGGGGGCTAGGTGCCCCAGGAGTCACCCATAGCGTAGCCTAAGGGGCTACGCACCTATTCATAGAACTACAGTTGCATTAGGTAACTAATCATTCTCATTCATTTATTTATCAGAGCTCACGCTCTTTACTCCAAAGCGCGCTCCCGTGTCAGCGGCGCGCACACAGACGTGTCCCTAGGGGTGGGCGATATGGCCTAAAATTCATATTGCGGTATAATTTGGGACACAGACGGTAGACTGTATATATTGCGGTATAATTTGGTGTGTGAATTTCAAAATAGGTCTAGCAGGTTCTTGCATGAAATAGTCAAGATTGTTACTTATTTAAAATGTATTGTGCAAAACTGCAATTATAGAGAACATTATAAAACTTTAACTTCCAAGCAGTATTGCTGGGTTGCAACCACGTGATCAAAAGGGGGCGTGACATGGGCCGTAGGACTGGAAGTATTTTTCTCCTAATAAATAGAAGGGAAAACGTACACACGGGAGTGAAAACTATTTTTAATGCAGCGTACGCTTTGTAGAGTTTGAATGAGTCCAATGTTTTCAACAATGAGAAGTATGTACTGGCTGTTATAGTGACAACAGTGGAGTCATTCTAGTATCAAGAGAAACACGTCTGAGATGATAGTTCTGATCAATAATACAATATATAGGGCACACATGTTACTTTAACATTTAAATACACACGCGTATGTGGAGAACACAGTAGTACTCAACGGAATCGGACAATGTTTGTCCGAAACATGTGCGCATGCGCAGTCATCTGAGCTATTTTTAGCACATTTCGGAAACCGGACAGTGCCCTATTAGAAAATGTATTTAACAGTTCTTTCTTTCTATTGCCTCGGTTACTATAACTGTATACTGCACAAAATACTGCATTGTATCTATGAAAGTAAGCGAAGTAAAGACTGCGGACTGTCAGCTGTGTCTGCGGCCACAGATGCTACGCAGGCTAATGCTAACGCATTTATTCCTTTCCTTGTTAGGCATTATCCTAAAAATTGACACCCGTTAGAGAAATATTTTTTAGCAAAGTAGAGACTACATAAGTTCTCCACTTGATCACAGCGCCGCAAATGGCGAAGTGGCACGCTCTCTGCCAAAACAATTTCCAAGTGGTAACTTTGTTTGTTACTTACGTGGCAATAAAAATTATTCTGATTCTGATATGAGCAATTGCCACAACTGCATACGCTAACAGAAAAAGAGCATTTTAACTCGGAATCAGGGAACTTTTACATTGTCCTTAATGGGGAGATTTACTTCTTGTCCCACGAAGCACTTTCGTCACGTGCAACCCAGGATTTTGATGACATAATGACCTTTCGCAATATGCCGGTATAACAAAAATCTCTACCGTTGGCCAAATTTTTATTGCACACCGCTTATACCGTTTATATCGCCCAGCCCTACGTATCCAACTTGACTGCTGCACGGGACAGACACTTCTCAGACACTTCTCAAAAAATCTGATCAAAACCATTTCCCGATTCCCGGGAAATGACGGGAAACGGGAAATTAAAGTTAAAAAAAATTCCAGTGTGCTCGTATTATAGTGCGCGTCTATTGATGTACAACGTTCAAATATATTTTCTTTTCAATCTACATGTCTACAGCTGAGAGGCTGGCTCATAAATTGTGTTTTTGACAACATTTATGGTCCGTGTAGTTTTCGTTCAAAAGTTTTTTCAAATTAAAATTGAAAAATGAAATATCAAAAAATGGCTTGAATTTTCATTTTATTTTTATGAGGAAAAGGAAAAACAAAAAATTGAAGGCTAAGAAGGTTTATATTAAAAATCGGATACACCCGGGAGTCGGCTGCAGCTAGCAAAACACAGAGGAGTTTATGGAGGAGGCACCCGTTTTGTTTTACTTTTGTTGTTCAGCCCTTTGAGTTGCCTTGTGTATGAATTGTGCTATACAAATAAACTTGCCTTGCCTTTTTAAAACTAATTATTTCCAAATGGAGGATTACATATCTACGCTCAAACTATTATCTGGACTTAAACACGAAACTGGTCTGAACTGAAGTGGTCTTGTGCTGTTCATTATTAACTGAGGTAAGGCACACTTGGAAATGTGCTTTATACAAACTTTTGCGCTTTGTATGAGCAAACAGTGCGGGCATGGAACATATTCTGCTGTATCCAAACAAATTGTGAGTAAGCCGCTCTGTAGGGCCTGTTGATCTCTATATGATAAATATATTGTATATGTACATCTGATTGGGGTGAAGTCAGTGCCTCACCAATCTCACCGCACGTCACTGGTCGACAAGTGTATTGCGCAGACATTTAGAATCTCAGCATAGTGAAATTCCTTTAGAAAACCCCATCAACAAAATGTCTGAAAACGCTAGATGGCTACTTAAGCAAAGCTAGCAAGTCGCTTAGTGAAACACTTGCGGAGATGGCAGCTTTTGATGGATTTACGTTTAATAGTATACATATTTGAGTGATATCATACATTACTTGGGCTAAAAATAACAACTACAAAAAACCGCTCTGGGATTCCCGGGAAATGCGTAGTCTTTTCCGGGATTTGATACATCTCATTTTCGGGAAAAATATTGAACCCTAGTACACATTGCTCTGATGCAAACAACGCGTTCCGTGCTCGAGCTGTAAGCGTACAGTTGCAGAATGTAAACAGGAAGAGAAAGGGAAACTTAACTCGACCAAGGTAAGTAGTTAGTATTAGCGCCACCAGCTGGACCAAGCATTGTACTACAGCACAGTTGGTCTGGCACGGTTGAGAAAATAAACCCTTGTGACTGCAAGCCGTCTTCACACTTCTCATGGTGACGATCCGGGCCACTTGGCCTAGTTTTTTTGTAAAAACCTATGTGACCATGCGCTTTTACTATGGGGTTGGAGCGAGTTAATATAAGCATGCAGTTACAATGGGGTTCTGACTCCAGAACACTGCAAAATATTGTGAAGAGGGACATTTTGAAACATGACAATGCAGAACCCAAACTGAACTGGAGAACAGCAGCCTCACTGACCAGTTCTTGCAGGCCTTCTTCTTCTTGCTGGCACCGTCTCCACAGCTAGACACTTTGAGCGAGGCTGGCTCTGGCTTCTTCAGATCCTCTTCATCCAGCAGAGTGTCAGAGTCTAGGAGGTCCTGAAAAAAACATCATCAGTAAACATGATATAGTAACAAGTTCTAGCCAACCTCCACAATGACAATGACATAATCTGTAGCACGGTGTAAGGGTGAAAATAGGGCCTGTCCCAATTCTGAGGGCACTCGAGTTGTGCCCTTAACAGAAGAGTGCCCTCCAATAGGGGAGTGCCCTTGCAGGATATTCTCCCTGAGAAATAGGACACCCTTGGATCTAGGGGACAATATGCAATGTCTGATTTCACCACAAATAAGATATGGCCACAGCTATGACTTTATGAGACAAAGTATTTATTAAAGTGAGACGTTTTAATTGTATTTCATATGAAGAAGATCAACTATAATTAGGTACATGACTGCTCCATATCCCGCACACACAAAGACACACGCACATAAACGTACGCAGACACACCCACACACAGATTCAGACACACACGGCACACAGAGACAGACAAGTACAGACGCAGATCAAAAAGCAGTCACAAAGCAAAGCAGATGATGCAGTCTCTGAACGACATCATGGATCTATAATAATAACATGGATCCACGTCTCTGAAGCCTCAGTGAACACCACATGCTGCGGGCGCATAACAGACAGACACAGCAACATTCAACAAGAACAAACAAACAAAAAAGTATATAAATATATAACAATAACCATAACGTACACAATTAGACAAAGGTGAAACTTACACTATATACAAACTGAGATTATTAGATGCAAAATTGAGACTCCAAGGGTGTGGGTGCATATGTGGATGCTGTGGGGTGTGGTGTACTGTATGCGGAATATTTGTTGAACCTCATGATCATGGCCCAACTTTCTAGTCTGAGCAACCCCTAAGTGAGACCTTCCTCCACCATTGCTGCCTATTGTTAGTGTTTTTGTTTATCATTATTATTAGGCCCGAGCCCCAACTGGGGTAGCCTGATCGTACCACACCATAGTACAAATAGGTCTGGAGGTGCTCAATTGAGCTCTGTTAACAGGTGGGAGGGGTTAACTCCTTTTGCAGATTGAAACAATTGGATCTGAATTTACTGTGACGTATGTAATGCGCCCGAGTGACTCGTTAGCCTAGCCATCACCTTTGCCGCAAACGGAGCACGTGGGGAGTCTTGCCACAATCTTTGCCACCAACGACTTTTGCACACATTCCTCTCGCCATTGCCAAACTACAACCTGCCCGTTCGGCACAAACTCTTGACGTCACCCACAATTAACTACAGCACCCGCCTCCCACACTCGCTGATTGGTCGGATGGAATTCAGCAGATTGTAATTGCAAACACAAGGACCAGACCCAGATGTACATACAGGGAAATGATGATTGAACCCAGTCAATCTCCTGCCTGAGGGGAGTGGTTGGAATAGTCCAAGTGCAGGGTGAGAGGGGTTGGCTGTGATACGACCAGCCCGGCCTCGAGCTTGGGCGACGTACAGGTCCTGCAGCGATGGAAGGCTGCGGCCGATCGCTTCCTCTGCAGAGCGCACAATGCGCTGTAGTCTCTGTTTGTCCCCGACAGTGGCTCCAGCGAACCACACGATGATGGAGGAGGTGAGGATGGACTCGATGGCCGTGTAGAACTGCACCTGCCTGCACATCTGTGCAGGCAGGTGCCTGCACAGATGTCCCGCCCCCCCCTGGGGGGGGCGGGACAGTGCTCTTCCGGAAGTCCACAATCATCTCCACTGTCTTCTGGGCGTTCAGCTCCAGGTTGTTACCACTGCACCAGGACACCAGCCGGTCGACCTCCCTCCTGCAGGCGGACTCATCGTTGTTGGAGATGAATCCAATGAGGGTGGTGTCATCCGCGAACTTGATCAGCTTCACGGAGTTGTGGCTGGAGGTGCTGTGGTTGGTGTACAGGGAGAAGAGCAGGGGAGAAAGAGCACAGCCCTGTGGGGCTCCTGTATTTATAATCCGAGAGTCCGAGACATTCTTCCCCAGACGCACTCGCTGCTTCCTGTCTGTCAGGAAGTCAGTGATCCACCTGCAGGTGGAATCGGGCACGTTGAGCTGAGATAGCTTGTCCTGGAGCAGGGATTGCAGGATCGTGTTGAAGGCAGAGCTGAAGTCCACGAACAGGACCCTGGCGTAGGTCCCCAGGGAGTCCAGGTGCTGTAGGATGTGGTGGAGGGCCAGGTTGATGCCAGGAGGGGGAAGGTGAAGGACTTGAGATGGGAGAGGACAAGGCGTTCAAATGACTTCATGACGACAGACGTAAGTGCTACAGGTCTGTAGTCATTGAGTCCTGTGATCCTGGGCTTCTTCGGGACGGGGACAATGGTGGAGCATTTGAAGCAGGCCGGGACATGGCAGGACTGCAGAGAGGAGTTGAAAATGTCAGTGAACACAGGAGTAAGCTCACTGGCGCAGTGTCTGAGAGGCCGGAGAGACGTGGTCCGGGCCAGGAGCTTTGCGGGGGTGCAGCCTCAAGAAGAGTTGTTTAATATCTTTAGAGGCTATTGTCAGGTGGGGGCAGGGCTGATGGGTGGATCATTAGAGTAGTGGGGGGTGGGGGAGGTGTCAGGGGCAGCATCAAAGCGACTGAAAAAAAAGTTCAGGTCGTCAGCTAGCTTGTGGTTGTCAGCACAGGGGGGGCTTTGGGGCTTGTAGTTGGTGATCTTCCGTAGGCCCCTCCAGACAGAAGCAGTATCGTTGTTACCAAACTGCTCCTGTAGTCGTTCTCTGTGCCGGGACTTGGCTGCTTTCAGTTCGTCCCTGAACTGACATTTAGCTGCTTTGTAGCCGCTGCAGTCCCCCTCCCTGAAAGCAGACTCCTTTGCTTTCCTGAGCTGCCGGAGTTTAGCAGTGAACCAGGGTTTGTCGTTGTTATAGATGACCCTGGTCCTTGTTGGAATAATGCTATCCTCGCAGAAGTGAATGTATGACGTCACAGTGTCCGTGTATTCATCCAAACTGTCTGTGGCAGCTCTGAAAAGGTCCCAGTCTGTAGATTCCATGCATGTGCGCAGCTCTTCCACAGCTTCATCAAACCACACTTTGGAGCTCCTCACTGCAGGTTTTGAGAGCTTTAGTCTCTGTCTGTAAGCAGGGAGCAGATGTATCATGGAGTGATCTGAGAAGCCGAGGGCTGCTTTGGGAACAGCGCGAAAAGCACCGCGCACAGTGATGTAGCTGTGATCCAGAGTGTTCTCCTCTCTGGTCGGGCATTTGATAAACTGTCTGTATTTGGGTAATTCCTGGCTCAAGTTTCCCTTATTAAATTCCCCCAGGATAATAATCAGAGAGTCCGGGTATAAATGTTCCATACACAGTACTTGCTCTGCGAGTGCACGCTGAGCCTCGCACGCGTCTGCGCATGGCGGTATGTAAACAGAGGCAAGAATGAATTAAACAAATTCACGAGGGGAGTAAAATGGTTTACAATAAATGAAAAGATATTCCAGAGCAGGAGAACAGTGCTTGGAGATCACTGTCACATCGTTACACCAGTTTGTATTGACGTAGAAACACAGCCCTCCGCCTATGCTCTTTCCTGATAGCGCACAATGGCGATCCGCGCGGAACAGCTCAAAACCCTGCAGTTCCTGAGCGCAGTCCGGGATCCGCTCATTTAGCCAGGTCTCAGTGAAGCAGAGGACACAGGATGAGGCGAAGTCCTTGTTTCTTCTCATGAGCAGGCTGAGTTTGTCCATCTTATTGCCCAGTGAGCAAACGTTGGAGAGAAAAATGCCGGGGAGAGCCGTGCGCGCTCCTCTTCTCCTCAGACGCACGAGCAGGCCTCCGCGCTTTCCCCTTTTACGGGCCCACACTTTTTTGGCTGAAACATGAACTAAATCAGCCGCAGATGCCAAGAAAACAGGCAATAGGTCCATGGGAACGGTGGGTCGGATGTTCATGAGTTCCTCACGGGTGTAGGAACAGCCAGATGCACAATTAAAAAGAAAAATTAAGTTGGGAAAAATGTATTTCCCAACAAGTAATGCTTTACTAGTTCGCTATAAAACGGCGTATCATTTATTACATAGGTTACTATGGAAAACTAAATGGTTTTTCTTCAAAGTTTTTTGGAAAAAAATTCTTGGTTTATTATTAGGCCCGAGCCCCGACTGGGAGAAGGGCCTATTGCTTTCACAATGGTGGATGCAAGGGGTCGCGGTGCGTGACGGACGCGTCAGTGCCCGTCACTCACCACAACGTGACGGTTGCGTGCGAAAACTCAAAAGCTTTAAAAAGATGTATCATGTGCTATTGAAACCTATATTGTTTTTTCTTGGAGACTTTCAAAAAAATTCCTTGGTTTGGTTTCTTTCTTTTTAGGCCCAAGCCCTGACTGGGGTAATGGTGCTTTCAGACCGGATCATGCGTTGCGTCGGCTTTCAATGCAAAGTCTATGGTGACGAGCGTTCGAGCGTCACAACGCACGGACCTCTCGGGACGCACGGACGGACTGTTCAGTAGACACGCACGGACTTGGCGGGAAAGTCAAAGGGGAGGAGCAGGAGCGAAAAATCAACGCCCACAGGAGATGGATTCTGCTCATCCTTTCCTTGGGACGTTCGTGCGACAACCAATCAGAGAGCCGCAAAGTGGTCACGGGGACATTAGTGGACTGAGCGAGCAGACTGAAAATACTCGTAAACAGCCAAAACAGGACCCACACCAGGCTTCACCAGAAATCAAACCAGGGTTGACAATGGGGGTCTGTGTGCTTGTGAAAATATGCGTTGTCATGCTTCCTTGACCTTATGCAACTGCTTCGAGTGTGTTAGTCGATGCGGAAATACCGTTAAATAATATGAAAAAACGTATGGCGCACCTCCGTGAACACATACTGCTGTTATAAAAAGCCCGTGGAAAGTCTCTGTTCAAATACACGCTCCAAAGCTGCATATTGGAGAAGATCTGTACACAAGAAGCCGCTAGCATAGCTCTGTTAGCATCAGAGCCGGCCGGCTACTTCCGGTACTTCCGGCTCGCGTCAGGACATCTCGGTGTGAAGACCTCTGCGTCTGAAAACTAGAGAATGCGCGTCTGGTGAGTGGGGCTTCAGCATTTCAGCGTTGGCGGTCTGAAAGCACCATAAGGGCCTATTGCTTTCACAATGGTGAATGCAATGGGTGGCAATAAGTGACGGACGCGTCAGTGCCCGTCACTCACCAAATTGTGACGGTTGCGTGCCTGAACTCAAAAGCTTTAAAAAGATGAATCATGTGCCATCGAAACCTATATTGTTTTTGCTCGAGAGATGTTGGGGAAAAAAATCCTTATTTATTAGGCCCAAGCCTAAAAAAAAATTTTTTTTTTAGGCTTCCTTATTTAAAAATTCCTTATTTATTTTTCTTTTCTTTTTTCTCCTGCTCTTTGAACCTTAATTTGACCCCCTGAACATGCATGAAAACTTGTGAAATTTTGCCCAAAATTCAGAACCGGCAAAACATTTTTTTTTTAGGTGTTTGATGGGACTAAAAAAATGTCAGAACAGCGCCCCCTACATAAGTCAGTTTACATTGCGCCTATGGGAGCGGGTCCAAGGTCAAGTTTGTAGTAGAGCCACAAAATTCGGTATCAGCTGAAAATTGCTCCACATCGTCTCAACAAATATACCATCAATAGTTCATCATAGAATTTTAATTAGTCAAACGGTCTGCGCGTGACAGACTCCCAAATTGTGGTTATATTCATAGAGAGGTGTGAAGTTCCCATGTTATCCAACGGAGACTGTATGGACACACTCACAGATTGTAAATAGAGTTTCGTTCGGGCCTGAGTAATCAAGCCCGACCCGGCCCGAGCCCGTATAAGCCCGACCAATTAACGCTTTATAATAAAAGGCCCGAGCCCGACAGAAGCCCGACGCATCTGATTTCCCTCTTTGCACGCACTCACCTTCCAATTGCAAGTTTAGCTTTCCACTTTTGAATTGTAAATGTGCTACTGTTTGCACATACAAAGTCTGATAAGCATAAACTTGACTCTGTTGTTCCACCCCAGGGCCTAGGTCACATGACAGTGGGAACAATGACATTGGCCCAATAGCGCCCCCTACAGGCTGAGTAAAGGTTTTACATGGGGATACAGGTATTTTGTTTTTCTCTTGTTTGATCTCATATTTGACCCACTTAACACACACGAAAACTCACCAAATTTTGCCACAAGGTTTTTCAGGCATAAAATGTAGTATTTTGGTGTTCTTTGGTATAGACAAAAAAAATTCTGATTGTGTTTTTTTGTGTGTAAGATTGTGAGAAGCAAAGAGTTCCAAATAAAAACAGAATGTTAGTAATCTGATGTCTAATGGTTGTGTGAAGAAGTGTTTGCAACGGCTGTAACTGGGGTTTTGATGTTGATGCTGGACTGGTAAGACCTTTGGAGGTTTGCAATTAAAAAGTAGACCTTGGGTCCGAAAAGGTTGGGCACTCCTGCCCTAAGTATTACCACACCCAACAATCCCCGCGGGCACGCGCAAAATCTAGGGCAAGAATTTTTAAGGGCTAGGGTGAGAATTGGGACGGGGTCTCACCACATCATCGTCGGCCATGTCTTTGGCCGAGAGTGTCCACAGGTTAGCAGTGTTGGAATCCAGAGCTGCTCTCTTTGAATCTGAAAAAACACATTTGATCCACAACAAAGTCAGGAGAAAAGACCAAATGTAGCTGCTGAAAAGTCATACCAGGCCTAGTCTTTCCAAAGGAGAGTTTGATCTGGCTTGATGAGCCCACCTCAAAGTTGGGTTTTGCGGCGGAGAGGCACGCTCTCTTGTTCACACTCTCCTGCAGGAGCAAGAGTGCAAAAACATATTCAAAATGTAGCCATGCCTTTACATTGATTTGATACTTACAAATAGTTTAAGGTTCTCTGCATTGACCCACAAGGGGAAATTAAAACAGATTTTAAAAACAGACAGGAACAGTAAAGATAAGAACGAGAGGAAGGAATTTTGCAGAGCTTGTTTAGGCCCATTGCAAATATTCTTTTGAGTATACAAGTGCTGTGAAGGGCAATAGCGCACACAAGTGGTGAAAAGTGCACACACTTCATCTTTCCAAAAGTTTTCGTCAAAAGAAAAATTGAAATGATACTGACACGTGCATACACTTTTCATTTCATTTCATTTCATTTTCAACCCCTTTGTCCATTTCTGGGTCGGGGGGGGGGGCAATGAGAGCTCCCACCCAACGCTCATAGCACCAGTCCCTCGCTGATCTTCTGCAGGGGGTGAGTCCACAGCAAGATGGCTGCTCCGTCAATTGTGAAACAGCCTTGATCTTTCAGACGTGCATACACTGTACTCTCTAAAAAGGGCTCTAAGTAGATATCAAAGGGAGAGTTCTACAATGTTTGTGTGTTTCCTGGACGCTTCAAAACCATTTGATCGTATCAACCATTGCAAACCATTTGATAAATTGATGCAAAGAGGGGTCCCTTCATATATAGTCCGTGTCCTCGAATTCTGGTACTCGCACCAAACCATGCAGGTTAGATGGGGAACGGCAGTGTCAGAACCGTTTCATGTGGCAAATGGAGCGAGACAGGGTGGAATCCTGTCACCTACGCTTTTCAATGTTTATATGGACGATCTATCTGTAAAGTTAAGGCAGTGTGAGACCGGCTGCACTATTGGAGATACTCTTTAAAGGACAACTCACCCTCAAATCCACTTTTTTTTGCTGATAAACGGTATAAATGAGTGTCCATTAGTGTTGTCTAACACTAATGGCTGTTTAAAGCCTACTGCACACCGCTCTATACTGCCCACTTGTGGTGCAGATACAGTAAGAGTAAGTTAAAGAAGCTGCAGGTTGCATACAAAGATGCACTTAGAATTTGACTGAAAGTCCCTTGTTGGACTAGTGCCAGCTCACTGTTTGTTCTTAAAAATGTCCTCACTCTGAATTTTGTGATCTGAAATTGTATTTATAAGTTCATGAAACACTCTGAGGACTCTTTAAATGTAATAATGAATGTTTTTACTTCTCATGTACAGAGCAGTGTTAAGCACACATCTGAACTCTGGAAACAATGGAGAAACTGTCTTTATAGAATTTTGTAAATATTGAATGTTTGTGTGTTGTCTCTTTTCTTGTTGTGTTTGTTTTATATGGACCCTCTGAATTAAAGATTAAATATATTTCGCCCACTCGTGAACAAGACCTCGAGATACTTGAATGAAGGAAGCACCATATCCTCTGATTTGGAGGTGCCGATCTCCACGTGTGGGAATTGTGTATGAGTTCATTGTTTCATATGTATATTCATGTTTTCTTTCAAATTGAACGTTTCAAAGTTTATTTTAACTTTTATTTCAGACTTTCTAACCCCCATTGCTACAGTATGCTTTGTCCTAATAATCAATTTTTTTCCCAAGAAATAAAGAGGAAATCAGCCATCGGACATTCACCTCTGTGACAGAAATAAAGCCTGACAGTTTGAGCGCTGCCATCAGTTTATCCAGCGTCTGCCCAATAACTCTGTCTGAACCTAAAAACAAGAGCATAGCAGATAAATCCAGATCCAAGTCTTCGTCCATGGAAATGTGTTGAATACTTTACTGGTCAGGGGCTCCTGGAGACGCAGCTGTCCCCCAGGTTTCAGCAGCCGGGCCATCTCTGAGAGCTCCTCTGCATTGTGGCTGAAGGATGGCTCCCACAGTGTGTAGGACAGAACCCAGTCAAAGGACGAGGCCTTGTGAGAGGCTGGACACAAGGCATCCACTTTACACTTTAAATCAAATCACATTATATGAAACAGCAATGATGCAGCAAGAGTCAGATAAGAAGTTTCAATGACCTGTAATAGGACTGTAACAGTAATAAATTATTTTAATAATCGCCTACCATACTTTTTGGACTATGAGCCGCCTCTAAGTTTTAGGAAGAAAAAAAATGTTGTACTTGTACTGGATAAAAAACTGCATGTTCTTATTACTGTAAGAATTAAGTCACTGACTGTTCTTAATCTTCAAGCTCAAAGATAAGGAGCAACATCTTTTGGTCTCTATTCAGTTCTGTTGGTCTTCACTTATCTATTAATTGTTTGGATCCAGAAGGCACAATGAATATGGGACTTAGTCAATGACTGATACGCTCATTTGCAGATTTAATACTTAAGATGCTCCACTTCGTCTCATCGAGAGCAGAGACTACATTACCCATAAGTTTTATAGTAGTAAGTTTTATAGTTTCAAGCGAAAGGCGCATGCGTCACTTTTACCGCAGTAAACAGTCGATGCAACTACACCAGGGGTCTCCAACCTTTTTCAATCTAAGAGCTGCTTTCATACAACAGAAGAGGCAAAGAGCTACTCATTTATGCGGTCATAATAAACCTCTATGTAATAATTACTGATGTAAAAAGAAAAAACACAACACTGTATGACCCTATACTTATACTTATAATAGATGTGTAATGACTCAAAAGTGAAACATTCAAGAAATTCTAAATCCTTTGGGTAGCCACCTAAAAGGGGCTGGCGAGCTACTGGTAGCTACCAAGCTCTAGGCTGGAGACAACTGGACTACACTGATGCTCTCACTGTGTGGTCTATGGAGAAGTGACAGTACGGTGTCGGTGTCCTCATGGTCTATGTGTGCTGGTGTCCGACCATAGACAGTAAATATTAAGACGCAAGACTTAATGAAAGAAAAAAACGTCCAGAATCACTGTCAAACCTGCCAGTCCTCCTGATACAAGTGTTGTGTGTATGGGTCTATTGTCAACAACCTTTTTTTCAACATTATTTCACTACCATTTAGCATTTTTTATTTATTTAATTAGTTCTGAAGCATGCTTTTCTAGGTCAAGCAAATCCCTAAATGGATGTATACAATTGATATTATTTTCTATAAGGTTGTCCATTGACAGTTGTAAATAAAACTTCAGAGAAAAATAAGTGCATTCTCTTGCATTTATTGGGCCACTTAAAGCACTGGCCATTTCTCAAACGCTAGCGCTTTCACACCCCTGAAACACCGTCTTTGTGTAAACAAAAGGCCAGTAATACCCAACTCTATTGTATTCCTCTAACAGCACATAAAAAATACAAACTGGTATTAAAATGGTTTTCTTTGTGAAAATGTGTTTATTCTTTTACACCTGTGGTTATTTTATTATAATATAATTATCTTTTTATATTAAGGGTTAGGGTTAGAGAATTTAGAAAAGGTTAAAGTAGCAGTATGTAATATTTGCATGTCAAGTCATCATTAAATGGCCCCCATATTTCAAAAGGTGTTATTAAATCATGCTCTTTTCGAATACATCTTTAACTGATAACAGTAGTTCAGCCGAGATATTTGAATATCAAAATTAATTTTAAGACCCGTAAAAGTTGTTATTGTTTTGATTTTGATGTCCTACCCTCCGCCGTTTCGCCAATCAGGAAGTGTCATGTAAGTCCGTGATCGGGTTGCCAGAACTCCGCGCGGCTCACTGATCTCAGTGGTAAAATAACATGTGGCGCAGAACTAAAAAAGGTCTTATTATGACTCTCAAATAATTAATGACAAAACATAGACTAAAACGAGGATTTATATAGGGACGCCTTTGAACAATTGAGACGGCTGATAAAAGTTTACGTGTGATGCAAAATTTGCTGCTTTGATTCCGTTCTTCAGAATAGCTTTCTAGCGCGAATCGGTGGTCGAGTGGTTAACACTACGCGCTCACGATGCAGTAACTCAGGTTTGATTCCGGAGAAAGTCTTTATGTTTTAATTGCATGTTATCACATTCTATGACAGATTGCTCTAAATACGGTAAAAGACGAAGGTCAAGACGTTTTTTGCAGATTATAGCTTAATTGTAAAAAGAATCATTTGAGACCATATGTACCCCAATTAAAATAATGTTAGTCTCTTTTTGATGTGGGACGTATACAAAAATAGGGAATAAATAAAATTGAAAGGTGATATCCTCTGGAGCAAACCCTGATGTTGATACGCTGAAGAAATACGTTCCAACATCCATTCTTCCCACTCCTATTTTGGACATCAATTGCTTATTTATAATCTATAAATACATAGCTTTTATTTTGTTTTTTGTTTTTTATCTCAAATAATAATAAAAAATTTAACATTCATTCAACATTAGCATGCCTCATGGCAATGTGAACGGAGACAGACAAACAACCGATAACATAATTCCCTGTGTTTGCTGCTGGATTTGGTGTGCATCTGGCAACCTGAGTCAGGGAGAGTGGGAGAGGACTACAAAATATTGACTGTGACTGCAGTACCACTTTTGGCCAGATTTTTACATATTGTTCCTTTAATAAAGAAGTAAAATCTCGATTTTTAATCAATTTTTATTAAAGTCACCGAAGACAGACTTTGCCCTTAAAAATATGTTTTGATCTTTCCGCTCAATATTCAAGTTTCAAAACTATATCTATTTTGTTTCCCCTAATACGTATTATAAAAGTCTTGTACAGACTGCTGATATTACAAGTATAATTCATGTGCTGCTGGAACTCTCACAATATCCTTCATTCGATTTCACAATTTTAACATTTTTCACAAATTCGATTTTTTCTAAAGCCAATTAATTGCCTAAATTCGATTTTTTGCCCAGCCCTAATTGTAATAGTATCTTATACTTATTTTTGTACAATGATTTTAAGTGATTGAAAACCCTAGTGTATCATGTTTTAGTTGATATGTATCCATGTGAATGGATTTCAGCTGCTTGTTGGAAACTATGTCTTTATAGAGGTTGACTCTGCTTTATCATGGCAGCAGAAACAGAAGATTGGAAGTGTAGAAATTAAACTTAACTCACATAATAAGAGTCTGTGTGCATTTTCGACAGAGACTTTTTCCTGAGCAGCGACTGCGGCCTGCACCTCAGTCACCATCTGCTGTAAGGCTTCTGGCTCCGACGTCTGGGACCACACCACTAACACCCTGTCCCCGGGTTTAAAGCCAGCCTCTTGTACTGCACACAACACAACACAGATTATCATGAAGTAATAACAACGGAACACACCATTCATTACCCTGTTCATATGAGGCATCAAAATATGAGGGTAATGATCTTTGAAGGATCAAAGTAAACATGATTGGCACTGGAAAATAACTGGTACTTCTGAAATGTCTGTATGTGTTATAATTACTCTTGTAATTATGAATTACTCTTGACCTAGGTACTTCTGAAATGTATACTACTACTATGTATAGCTCCTTTTGAGCTCTAAATAGCACGTTCAAAAACATTTTGACTTTTTTTGTATCAAATGTATGTGTCGCTCGTGGGTGGCTGAGTGGATAGAACTCTCGCCTTTCTGAGTTGAGTTTGCATGTTCTCCCCGTGTCTGCATAGGTTTCCTCCGGGTGCTCCGGTTTCCCCTACCACTAAAAACATGCACAATAGGTATGAATGTAAATGAGAGAGTGAATGGATGGTGTTGATTGGGGGCTGATGGTCCAGTGTGTTCGGCGACTCGCTTCTGTCATCACCGTGTGTGAAATGATTGGAACAATATCTGAACTCTAAATGTTGTAAAGCGCTTTGGGTGACCTTGGTCTATAAAATGCGCTATATAAATAAAAATTATATAAACTATCTGAACTGAACTGATCTTCAAATGTCAGGTTGCAGATGTTCTGACCTGGTCATCATTATTCTATAACCCTCTGTGCATAATTACTGCAGGTAAGGACACCCTGTTACTGGCATGATGTCGGGTGTAACTCTTGGTGCTGTAAAATATTTTGTTAAAGTACTTAGATTACATTTGAAATGACTAAGTAACTAGTCTAACACATTACTTGTATTTAGATTAGAGTAACTAACAAAACCCAGCTCCCACGGTCTGCAGCAGTTCTCAAACTGAACATAGCTGCAGAGTGACATACATGTGCAGAGGCAGCGGTGTTAATGCTTCTCACTTAGCTGAGGTATAAACACTCATTTACACTGACTGTTCCAGTGTCAAGCTCAAAGATAAGGAGCAACATCTTTTGGTCTCTTTTCAGTTATGTTGGTCTACAGTTATCTATTAATAGATAAGATCCAGAAGGGTCAATGAATATAGAACTTATTCCACATTTGACCAAAAAGCTCAATTGATGGCCCTGGAGTGCATCTTCATAGAGATGTTACACTTTGGATTGTTTGATTAGAAATACTTTGTAAACAAATTTTTGTTTTATTCTAAAGTCATTGCAGTCATTAAACCTCTTCTCAGTTTAAACTTCTTAGTTTAAGAAAACACAGAGAGAAAATGGCATGATACATAACTATACGTTAATGATGCATTTTTCAGCTGTCCTGGTTGTGACATAATAGATCGAAAGTTACGACTGTAACTACGGTTCTATGAATCCTGGATGACCGCCAGAGGCGGTGCTTTAAGCACTGAATGATCATCTTTGAGCATGCGCAGTTCGAGAATTAAATGACAACAAAGTCACTTGTGACCTCCTCGTGACCCCCGTGAGTCTATATAGGTCACGTGACACGAGAGCCCAGCCCCTTTTCACCTCGCAAGCAGACCGTGGCCCTGAGGGACTGGACGCTCTGGCGGTCATCCAGGATTCATAGAACCGTAGTTACAGTCGTAACTTTCGTTCTATTTCATCCTTCCTGACCGCCAGAGGCGGTGCTTTAAGCACTGGATGACAAATACCAACAAGGTCCCGAGGGGTCAACGAGAGGTACACACCCACCTCATAACGTCGAATGGTGCCGCAGCACCCCCTCCAGCGGACCAGGGACCGCCACATTGACCCTGTAGTACGTCGCGAAGGTAGACTGCGACGTCCAGGAGGCGGCCGCAAAGACGGCGTCCAGAGGCACACCGCTCATAGCAGCCCAGGAGGCAGAGACGCCCCTGGTCGAATGACCCCTCACCCCAGCAGGCAGCTGGCGCCCATGGGAGAGGTAGCACTGTCTGATCACCTCGACAACCCACTTGGAGAGGCGCTGGGACGACAGAGCCTGGCCCTTCCTGGGGCCGGCATAGCACACGAAGAGGCGATCCGACCCCCGCACACTGGCTGTGGCAGTTCGGTAAACCTCCAATGCCCTGACAGGACAAAGCGGTTCTACAGAGGCCCCAGTACCAAACCGGGCCAAACTAAGTGGAAGGACCGCACCAGTGAACACATTTGGGCGGAAGGAAGCATCCGGCCAAAGCGTAACCCCCAGACCATTGGGATCCCATCTGCAGCAGGACTCGTGAAACGACAGAGCCTGCAGTTCACTCACACGCTTACCCGAGGCCATAGCCAGAAGAAAAGCAGTCTTAAGGGAGACCCACTTCAGGTCCACACGATCCAGGGGCTCAAACGGGGGAGCCCGCAACGCCTCCAGAACCAACGTCAGGTCCCAGGGTGGAACCATGGGCCGTCGCGGGGGATGAAGACGGCGAGCACCCTTCAGGAACAGGGAAACATCCCCGTTACTCCCCACCGTAGAACCGGCCACACCCTCATGAAAACAAGATATTGCCGCCACATATACCTTGAGTGTAGAGGGAGAGCGCCCCCGGTCCATGAGATCCTGGAGGAACTGCAGAATGGCAGGCACCGGGCAACGCACAGCATCATGTCCCCACGTCAGACACCACTTGTCAAACAGCTTCCAGCGGTTGGCGTACTGTCGTCGAGTGGAAGGCGCCCTGGCATTGGAGATGGTGTGGGCGACCCCCTCACCATACCTCGGGACAATTGCACTGGACCCCTCAGTGGCCACACCCAGAGCTGAAGCCGCTCGGGACTGGGGTGCAGGAGCCTCCCCCTCAGCTGGGACAGGAGATCCCGCCGCCGGGGCAGCGGTCTCGGAGAGCCGCAGCAGAGCCTGTGCAGCAATGGAAACCAGATCCGGCCTGGCCAGAACGGAGCTACCAGGAGAAGGTTGTGCCCCTCCTGGAGAACTCTCAGGAGGGTCGGGAAAATCAGTGGCAGAGGGGGGAAAGCGTAGAGCAGAGTACTGGGCCAATCGTGCGCCAGCGCATCCAGGCCCAGAGGGCAAGCCACGTCCGTCAGGGAAAACCACAGCGGGCAGTGGGTCGACGCCTCCGATGCATACAGGTCCACCTCGGCCCGGCCAAACATAGTCCAAATGCTGGCCACCACCTCCGGGTGGAGACGCCACTCCCCGGGCTGGGGGCGTTGGCGGGACAGAAGGTCCGCCACCACATTGTGCACCCCCGGAATGTAGGAGGCCCTCAAGCTTGCCAAGCGAGGGGCCGCCCACAGCAGTAGCTCCCGGGTCAACCGCAACAGCGTCACGGACCGGGTACCCCCCAGGTGGTTGACGTGATGCACCACCGTGGTGTTGTCGGACCTCACCATGACATGCCGGCCACGCAGTCGTGGGAGGAATTGCGCGAGAGCAAGGCGGACCGCCATGAGCTCCAGGGCATTCACATGCAGCAGGCGGACCTCTGGAGACCAAGTCCCCTGTGCCATCCTGCCCTGCCAAGTCGCCCCCCAACCAGTGAGGGACGCATCGGTGTGCACCACCTCCCTCCGAGACGGAAGAGAGCCCAGTGGGACACCTCTCTCGATCCAAGACCTGTCCCGCCAACAGGATAGGGACTCTAGGCACTGCGGCGAGAGCAGGAGTCTGCGTCGCCTGTGAATGAAGCGTGACGGATCTAAACGCAAGCCGTTCAGCCACATCTGCATGGGACGAAGGGAGAGAAGGCCCAGCGGCACAACGGCAGAGGCCGCCGTCAACTTCCCCAAGAGGCTGAGGTACAGCAGGAACGGCAACGCCCGACCCCGCTGAAATCTGTGGAGCATGTCCACAATGCCATTGACCCGCAGAGCCGACGGACGGGCGGTCATGGCAACCGAATCTAGGTACACCCCCAGGAAAGTCGTTGCCTGAGCCGGAACCAAATTGCTCTTGGCAACATTGACCTGCAGACCCAAACGCCCAACGTGGTCGAGGACAGTCTGAGTGTCCCGAACGGCCTGGGCACGACTGGAGGCGCACACGAGCCAGTCGTCCAGATAAGGCAGGACCCTCAACCCCCCTGCCTGAAGAGGGGCCAAGGCCGCCGCAACGACCCGGGAAAAGACCCTGGGGGATAGGGACAGCCCGAAGGGGAGCACCCGAAATTGATAATGCCGCCCCCGGAAAGCAAAACGCAGAAACCGCTGGTGATGCGGGGCAATCGGCACGTGAAAATAAGCATCCTTCAGGTCGATGGATGTGAACCAATCGCCCGGAGATATTGCCTGCAACAGCTCCGAGGTCCTCAACATCCGAAACGATAGCGTCTTGAGGAACACATTGAGGCCCCGAAGGTCCAAAACCGGACGCAAGTCGCCAGTTTTCTTCGGAACTAGAAAATAAATCGAATAAAAGCCCCCTGGGTCCAGCAGGGGGTCCACAGGCACTATAGCCTCCTTGTCCAGCAAGGTGGCAATCTCTACGGACAGTGCCAGTGTCCTGGCCCGGTCGTGGATCACAGTCCACCTGACGGGGCCAGGGACCGCAGGCCGACGGTGGAACTGGAGAGTGTACCCCCGGGAGAGCGTGCCCAACACCCAGAGGTCTGAGGTGTGAGCGGTCCAGTAGTCCAACTGCTCCCGGGTAAAAGAACCCACCGTCAGCGGCTTGACCTCATCTCCGCGCCCCCCGTGGCCTGGAGACCCCGGGGGGGCGCCCGAGAGCCCGTGCGTTCTGGGGAGGCCGCCGGGTAGAAGGCCGAAATCCCCTATGGTCAGGCGGAGGGACACCTGGTGGTCGCGAACCCCTAGGAAAGGGCTGTGGAACACCATACACCCGCGGAGTAGCAGCAGGAGGGGCAACCCGTGGAGAGGCCCGCCGGTGCAGCCCAACCAGCTGGTCACACGTCCGGGTGGCCTGCGCCGTGCGCTCCAGCGCCTGAAGCGCAGCCGCACCAAAGAGCTCCCCCGGAAGCACCGGAACACTCCGGAGAGTCCTCCTACAGGGCTCAGTGAGGGGTGACTGTGCCAACCACACCTGCCGACGTGACTGAGTAAGGGTCGACAGCAGGCGGCCCAGTTCCCGCGACATAAGGGCAAAAGCGTGGAGGGACGCATCCAATGTGGATGTGCATGTGGCCCAAGCCAAATTGGGGGACATCCTGCATTGAAGCCAAAGCCCGGCCATCGGACGTCAGTCTGGACATAGCCTTTGTATCCGTCCAGCATGCATGTAACTCCTTCACGTACTCCATCGAAGGAGGCACAGAGACAGAGGGAAGGGGCCGCTGTCGCTTAAAGAAGGCGCTACCAGACGGCACAGTTCCCTGCGGGACATCAAGCCCCAAGTGGACGAGTGCAGAGCGGACGGCAGAGGACGCCCCACTCTCCTCTCCGTCCAGGCACCCCGTGGACGCCAAGGAACCAGCGTCAGAGGCCCTGGAATCAACCTCCTCAGGGTCAAGACGAAAATGGGTGTCAGATGCAGCCACAGACATCACATCGTCCTCCCACAACGAGGCCAGGTCCGGCACAGGAGGGCCTAGCACATGTACCCCCGAAACCGGGCGAACATCCTGCAGAAGTGCCTTCATTAGGGCCATCTCTGACGCAAGGTGGTCCATCCGTGCAGACAACCCTGCAGGCACCCTACGCTTCCTCTGCGGAGCCGAGGAAGCAGTGGACACAGCCGCACGCTTAGACCCAGAGGGCTGGGCAGCAGGCGGCAGGCAGGGCGGCACCTCCGAAGAACCCTCATCCGGATCCAGGGCCGCCAGGCGCTCCACGCGTACAGAGAGTGGCAGTACCGCACAATTGGAGCAGGCGTCCACCGTCAGGCCCTGTCTCAAATGCCCGATACCCAGGCACGCAGGGCAGAGGTCATGGCCATCCTCGCGGGGCATCGGTGCCATGCACCCACGGCAGCCCAGCGACTCGTGCATAACGAGCGTGCCTGAACTGGTGGAGCAATGTAAGCAGAGTCGGGTCGAGCTGAAAACGCCACAGACGACTCAAGCACACAGAGAAAACCAAACAACCGAACAGAGGGCGAACAGTCTAACTGTTGGTAAAGAATAACTAATGTTAGCATAAACTGAAAACAGAACAGACCCGGTGTGGGTCTCACACCGGGTCTCACGCACGTGCACAGAGGGGCTCGGCCGCGCTCTGACCAATCAGAGCAGTTCATCAGAGCGGGAGTTAGAGCGAGAGCCAGAGGAGCAGAGTTTGTGGCACTAAAGTGTGGATTTAAACAAAACCGAAGGTTTTAAGAAGAAAAAAAGTTCAGGATGACAAGGGACACTAAAATCCCCACAAAATCCGATCTTTATTAAAGCTGTAGGTTCTCTGTCAGCTGAGGATGAGCTGTTTTAATATGCATTGAGTTCTATGGGGAAAATTTCTGGGTAGCCCACGTGAATTTAGTCTGGTTCAGTCTGCAGTACCGCGAGAATCCCCTGAGCACATGAGTTATTCAGCTACAAGCTAGTAATACCCTATCCAGTTAATATAATACATCCATGGGCGAGATCCACCCGCTGCCTCGACGCGAGTCACGGAGCTGATGTGCAAGCAGGACGTATGTGGTAGGTAGGTAGCACAAACGCTCAAACACACACGCACACCTCAAACCTGCGCTGCGAGAAGAAGAAAAGAAAAGAGGCTGGGCTCTCGTGTCACGTGAGCTATATAGACTCACGGGGGTCACGAAGAGGTCACAAGTGACTTTGTTGTCATTTAATTCTCGAACTGCGCATGCTCAAAGATGATCATTCAGTGCTTAAAGCACCGCCTCTGGCGGTCAGGAAGGATGAAATAGAACCATGGTTGAGACGGGCTCAGTGACCCGCTTCTGAAGTTATTGCTTTGGTAAGTTTTATGGAGGATAAAAAACGACAGTTTGGCTTAAAACATAGCACAATTTCGAGTGATTTTTTTTTTACAGTGAGTGAGAAGACTCGCCTCTCCACAAATATTACTTAACGTGTAACACAATGTTGCCGCTCAATTGCAAAAACAAGTTTTTTTTTTTTCTATGGATGAACGACAAAGGTTGAACCGTGAGTCAGCAAATCTGAGTGACGTTTGTGTCAGAAAAAATCCCCCGCTAACTATAACATTGGAATAGTGGTTTGCTAATTAGTTCAATTTCATACTCATATAAAAGCAATCAACATTAGTCATTTTATCATGGGACAACATATTTCTGAGACAGATCAGTGAGGGTGCCTCCGGTGATCACCCTCGGTCCTCTGAGCCCGTCACATGGACGTACCCCTGTCTGCTCAGTGTACAGTTAACTGTTCAGAAGACAATGGAATGATAGATAATAGAAATAAAGCTTAACACGAACCTTCTCGACTGCCCATGGTCAACACTACCGGAAACACACAAATACGACAACTCTTCTTCCACTGGAGATTTTCAAAATAAAGCTCAAAGAAGGCGATAGCGTTACTGGGGAGAAGTGCACCACAAAGTCACACGAACAACAGGAGAAATAATCGTATTCTCTTTCCCTGCCAGAGAAGGGAAAAATTGTTGTAGACCTATGGTTGTTACATAGACTGTAAATAGCTTTAAGCTAGCTATGGTAGCTTCACATATGTAACAGACATGCGCAGTGCGTAGAAGCAGATGTCATGGCGGCGATGGTTCGAGCAGTGAGAGCAGGACGCGGAGCTGCAAGGACACTGCGGCTCCTGCCCACAGGTCTGACCAAACTGTACTGGTTTACAATATAGACTGTTCTGATTTGCGTGTAATACTGGTTTGGAAATGAGCTGTGAGCGTTTGAGAGCGCTGGGATAGTATCCAGCAACAAGATGTGATCATGAAGGACACATAATAACACCATCAACCGTATGTCCGTAGCATGGTCGGAGGGCTATTGGCACAAACTGATTGCCTTGCTTCTGTCAGTCTGCCCCAGGGCAGCTATGGCTATAAATGTATCTCTATACTACCATAAGCGTATTTGAGTGTCCAAAATAGCCCTATATAAAACCGATGCATTATTATTATTATAATTATTATAATAAAGGATCAATGTTTAATTGGTTTTCAGTTTATGGTCAGACTCTGCTTTCAATCAAAGTGTGCTGAGTGAATGGATTTAATGCTCACAACTAAATGTAAATGTGTGTCCGACATGACTTAGAATTTGATACAGAAATAAGATTTAAGAGTTCAAAATCAACCATCCATCCATCCATTTTCGTCCCCTTAATCCATTTCTGGGTCGGGGGGTGGCAGTCAGAGCTGCTCCCAGTACACATAGCACCTGCCCCTCACTGATCCTCCTGCAGGTGGTGAGTCCACAGGAGCTGAGATCTTTCAGTTGGGGCTTTGGGCAAAGTAGGGTTAAGTGTCTTGCCCAAGGACACAACGACAGCAGTCATCAGTGGGAGTCGTGAAGTCGGTCTTACGGTGGGCTCGAACCCACGACCTTCAGGCCCAAAGGCCAATGCTCTACCAACTGAGCTACTGTTGAATTCAAAATCAATCAATATTGAATTCTCTTTACAAATAAATATTAATACAAAACTCTCTGAGCTCTTGTTTCTAACCCTATGAGCTGAGCCAACTTAGCTATCCCTCCAGGCCTGAAAACGTACTGAGAGGACAACCAGGTGCTCTGCAAAGTCCTCTCTCTCTCTGGTCGGCCTGGCTCAGACTGCTTTTCAAAATGTCCTACCAAACAGTTTTATGATAATGTCTAGAAGGATAGGAAGTGCCTCCGATGACGTCATATGGTAAGACCGACTGAGACCCTGGTTTGGGTCTGGTCTAGTCCGGTCTCTTGTCCGGTGAGATAAGGAACTCCCTTTGTCGAAAAACATTTTTTTTGGGGCTATCTATTGTCCATTGTTTTGCTGTAAACTCATTGACCTCAGGAAAACACATCATATGAGAACACTTTATAAAAACACTTGATTTAATCATTAGTATAGAGACATTTTATAATTAAATATAGAGTTTCATATTTCCATAGATGTTTATGTTTGGATGACAGATAACAGTGTGTATGGGCGTGTGTGCTGTATTTAAAATCTGCAACAGTCCTGACCATAGGCCGGGTTAAGATGGGAAAAAAACAGACTTTAAAATGTAGACAATGAAATACACACAACAAATTAACAATATTGCAATGCATTTGAAAGGACTTTAGAACACTGGTGGAAGAATGGGATTCTGTGTGAAAACATTTTACAATAATAATGCCTTGCACTTGGTGGTGACCAAAGTGAGGGGCTAGTCTTCTATCGACCTCTCCCACCACAGCCACCACCACCACATTCATACTCCCGCATTTTCTCGGTGGTGGTGGTAGGGGGACCAGAGAATCAGAATCTGAATCATTTTTATTGCCATATAAGTAACAGGAAGTCTCAGACTAGGATAATGCTTTGGGTCCGTGCAACAGTCAAAGAAGAAAGGTTAAGAATGGTAAAAAGGAAGGGATAATAAAAATCCGCATACACTTCTAAGGTATAAAAATTTTAATACAATTACTATATATAGGCCTGTCACCAAAACAAATTTTACCGGACGATAAATAGTCTCGGAAATAATTATAAAGTAATAATATTGTTATTTTTTCTTTTTCATCTAATGCAATGGAAATGATACAGGTACACCTTTTCAAAGAGAAATAAACTTTTATTTAAAAATATTTAACACTAGAACAAAATAAATGAACAAACTACTAAAAGCAATAAATAAAAAATAGACTCGGTCTCTTAAAAAAAGATGAACTGGAAAAAAACTGCCAGGACCTTTTTGTAAACGAAGTTATGAAACGGAAGCCTCAATAGGCCATATGCAAAATCATTTTAGAAATAATTTACGCCAGTAGTCCCGCCTCCCCACACACCATGCGACTGACAAATGACTGACATGAGGGTTCACACATCGTTACTCCGGGGCGTTCAGCCCGCCAACACTGGAACGCAGCTTAAACGCGCACTAGACTCACATTCTCTAATTTCAGATGCAGGGGTGTTCAGACCAGAAGTCCTGGCCTGTGGTTGCGGCCGCCGGAAGTGGCGGAAGTAGCTTTGATGCTAACGGAGTTAAGATAGCGGTTTTTGTGTAAAGTTCTTCTCCAATAATGCAGCTCTGCAGTGTCTCTGCGTCCAGAGACCTTCCAGAGACTTTATATTAACAGGAGTATGTGTTCATGCGTGCGCCATAAGTTTATTCTATTATTAAACGGTACTTCTGCATCGGCGAACAGGCTCGAGGCAGTTACAGTCACGGGAGTATGAGAATGCATATGGTTCACAAGCACTATGTCCCCCATTGTCAACCCTGGTTTAGTAATGGTGCAGCTCCTGTCTTGGCTGTTTACGAGTATTTTCAGTCTGCTCGCTCAGACCACTAATGTACCCGTGACCACTTTGCGGCTCTCTGATTGGTCGCTGCACGAGCGTCCCGAGAAAACGTTCAGCCATTAATTCCTGCGTGAGTGGTTTTTCCGCTCCTGCACCTCTGCCGCACCTTTGCCGCGCAGTCCGTGCGTTTCTACCGCGCAGTATGTGCGTGCATCCCGAGATGCACATGCAGTTCCAAGCTCGAACGCGTGTCACCATTGGCTTTGCATTGAAAGTCGCTGCAACGCATTATCTGGTCTGAACGCGGCATTAAGCCTAGTGTATAGTCGCGCGGAGGCAGAGCCTGATATACGCGGAGACTGTGGAGTAGAGTTTCGTTGCATATCTAACGTGTATATATAACTTTCTTTCGTTTCTTTTGCACTGTTCCTGTCTTGTTTGAATCTGCTCATAGCTTATCGTGTCTGTTGCATTCCTCCTGCACTTTTAAATAGTTCATGTTTGTCTCAGATATTTACCACTTATTGTTTTGCTGTTTGTGCTGAAAACAATTGAATGATAACTATGTTTTCAACAAGAACTGTGTCTGTATTCACAACATCACAGTTAAATGAGTTGAAACGATGAGTCCATAGAACTATAACAGTAGAAATACATAATGATCTCAAACAGCTTGCTTCTCTTTTGTTTTTGTTCTGAAGAGGAAAAAATAGCACCGTAAGTGGGACCGCTTTGGTTTCCCCATGGGTTTCCCAGGCTACTCCTGTGAGATCGCCATCACGTGGTTGGTTGTGGGATTGCAACATTCTCTTCAAAACTCTGTAAGGGGAACGCGCGACTGTACCACCAACTGTGGTTACGTAGGTCCAACGTAACTGCAACCGTAAGCTGCACCGCGCAAGTGTACACGGGCCTTAAGGTGTTGTTTGAGCAGTGGGGGGAGGGATCAGAGACAGCATTAAAGCGGCTGAAGAACAGATTGAACTCCTGTATGGCGCCAGATTCACGTCAAAAGTTTACACGCACAATTAATACATACACGTGCAGCTTTATTTAATTCACCAGCGCGTAAACTACTCTCCATGCGCATATATCACGCCACACACGCGCAGATCCTCTCGCTACACGCGTAGATTCAGTACCACGAGCAACAAAATGCGCATGTTTGCGCTCGTGAGTTGCCTTCTCCCTTCGCGCGCATGAAAAACTTTTATCACTTGGGGGCGGGGCCAGTACCCACTGCTGGATTTCTGGGCGACGTCACAGGAAAGTTGCGTGCACAGCCGAGTGGCTAAAGAAGGTAACATTTAGGACCGCGGTGAAGTTAGTTTGAAGTTGGATATCCAACAGACATTCAACGGTCTCTCCCTCTCTGCAAACTTCTCCTTCGCTCTGGGTACATTGCGACTCAAAAGCCGCCGCAACATTTAAGTGCACCCGTATTACAAACAGTACGGTAAACACACGGGGAGACATGTACGCTGGTATTTTATTATTGAGTGTTTGGTTTTAAATTTTAGATTAATTAAAAATACTTTCTTAAATGATAAAGGAAGAGGTGTACCTCCTGCAGCTAGTGGAGGATTATGATCATAAACTGATTTGGAGTCAATAGATCACATATGGATAGCACGTTATTTAGAACCGTGCATGGTGCAGCCGGGGGCCCACCCTCGAGCCAGGCCTGGGGTTGGGGCTCATATGCGAGTGTCTGGTGGCCAGGCCTTAGCCCACGGGGCCGGCCGGGCTCAACCCGATGGGATGACGTGGGCAGGCCCTCCTGGGACCCAACACCCACAGAGGGATCCGTGGTGGAGAGGTGTTGAGAGGACTGGGCAGCAGTCGAAAGCGGAGACCTCACTTGGGCGGAAGAAGCCCGAGCCTCCGGGTGGGGGACAAGTCTCTCACTGTTGTGACGGCCTACGGGCCTAACAGCAGTGCAGAGTACCCAGCCTCCTTGGAGTCCTTGGGAGGGGTACTGGACAGTGCACCGCCCAGGGACTCCATTATTCGACACTCTACAACACTCAGATCTATGTCTCACTGACTGCAGGAGAACATGGATCAGTGGACTCACTCCTTCACTGTATCCAACAGAGAACAGACTTTAAAACAGCTCTGCTTGTGTACAAGTCTCTCCATGGCCTCGCACCAAAATATATTAGTGACATGTTAGTACCATATGAACCAGCCCGGACTCTGAGGAGCACAGGGACAGAACTCCTGTTAGTGCCCAGAGTCAGGACTAAACATGGGAAGGCTGCTTTTCAGATTCATACTGCTAAAATCTGGAGCAATCTTCCTGAAGATGTGAGACAGGCCTCCTCTCTGACAATGTTTAAAACCAGGTTAAAAACAGTCCTGTTTAGCTGTGCA